AAGAAAGATTAAGCAACCTTTTAACTTAATCAACTCAACAAAAAAATCTAAGAGATACGACTAGTGAAATGACCTCTGGTGAATCAAGTCCCCGTGAATGACAACTAAAGTGCCGGCTTTCACTTCAATCGGGACAAAGTCTTTCTGGTCGTAAGATGGGGATGGCTTATCAAAGTGGACCCCACGCTCGTCTCTAATGAATCTCCTCACCAGCCCATCTAAATATGAGAAAAGAACAAAACTGTTAAGGATCATTTTCCGCAACTTCTGCTTAGCAGATACTGGGTCAGCTGAGTTAGCAAAAATAAGATAAGAGAGTGCATTGTTCACTCATTTTTATAGATTGCGGCGTGGCAAAATTATTTTTAGAAACTAATAATATGTTTTGAGGTGGATTTAATTGTGATGGTGAGATGAGAAACTGATGATGATAGTTAAAGTTATAATCTATATAATGGGTAGTCAGAACTAAATGAGCCGGTGAATAGAAAAAATGTTGGGAAAATACATATTAGTGACCTGGTCGTTTTCAGGAAAGTGTAACTTTTACCGTAAAAAATATTTTCTCAGCCAATCACAGCCAAAAGTCCAAGTTAAACCTCCCCTGCACTTTGATTCAAAACGAACTACAGAATCAAAAGCAGAAAATTGGCATATGACAACACTGAAAGTTTCATTTTTCCCTTTTCCCCTTTTTTTTTTTCAGTTAGACAATTGTCTTTGTACTGCGTGGACTTAAACACTCTACTTAATGACAAATAACAGGATTCTAACAGCAGGTAAAAAACCAGAGAAGGGCAATTATGTGAAATGTGAAAAAAGTAAGAACCTTTGTGAGATCCAGGAATAGCCCAAAGACAACCATTAGTGACTGTTGCATCTTCTAGTGCAAGCCATAGTCCGGTGCACGTTTGTGGAACAGTGAACAAAAATGAATTGTCCTGATGTGGGACCACCTCTCCACCAATTCCAGGTTGCTGAAAAAAATGAAATGAAATTCATGTGAACGCACGTGTAAGTACAAGTAAAGCAACCAAAGACTTCCTTGCAAAGTAAAATGTCCTTAGTTTCGGATTGGATTGGAAAAAATAAAATTAGAAACTTCCAAGAACTTCAAGAATCTATGGTAAACACAGCATGTTATGAGAAATACTCTTCTTTGAAGATTTTGGCATACCGATTTAAACAAAAAAGAAAGAGGAAAAAGGTACCTTGAAAATATACATGGACTGTATAATTACGGGCCTTCTGTAACCGATAGAGAGAAGTAAACTCGACATTTTCTCCGAGCTAGAGAAGCTCTTAAAAACTTGGTCTTTTTCATGTAATGCTGCATGAGAACACAGACACAGCATAAAGACATGGAGATGAAAAACTATTTTGAATCAGAATACACAATAAGATTAATAAAAGATCAAAATAAAGTACTCCCTCCTATTCATAAAAAGTGTCGTTTTGAGAAGTTGCACAATAATTAAGAATATTTTGTTTGCCAATAATAACCTTCATTAATGAAGATAGAGATGAATGTTTTGAGAAAAAATGAAAAGTGAATATGAAAAGACGTAGTGTATTTATTAGCTAAATAAGGGTGATAATAGAAAAACATGTACAAAAAATCCAAAACGACATTTATTTGGTTAATGGTTGATAAAGCCAAAATGACATTTAAAAAGAATAGGAGGTAGTATATACCATGCCCAACTTTGTTTATGGAGAGTTGCTTTGGTTGCTTCAAGTTGCCATCATCATCAAATGCTTTCTCTGTCAAAACAGAAAATGATGCACATTTTGACAAGCCACAATAGTCGAATTGGATCATATTACTAACAGTAAACAGCATAATACAACTACATTCAAGTGAAAGGTCCTTAAAAATTTATCTATTTTGCATAAAGAAAACAGAACACCGAAGACTGCCATTTAGAACTACAAAGAACACGAGAATCTAGCTGACCAAATAATTTTCCAACCAAAACATAGAAAGACGACTAAATATGACTCCAGCAGCCAATTTTAGTGAACTGGAACAATAAGATATTGCATCAAAATCAAAGAATTGTACACAACACCATACATGACCAAATAAGTAGAGGAATATATGAGTTACTACATAACCTTTCGACTTAGACAGGAATTTGGAAAATGTACTACACATTTAATTTTATCAAATTATATTCACAACACAGCAGCCTTTTTACGGCGACACACATCACAGCATCATATTCGTAAATCCTGTTTCATGAACATCGACATACTTAGGTAAAAGAAAGTTTTCTTTAGCGTTTACCTCAGTCTCAGCCACCTAACCCATTAAAGAAAAGGAAGGAAGAAGACAATTCCTCAAACATTGTTCATCGATTTAAACATGATTAAGGTATTTTAACTTCAATATAACAGTAGATGAACCCCCAAACAATTTTTTTCTGCCAGAAACTCATACCTTCAAAGAAGAAGGAAATGTTCTCAGCGCTTTCAAAGAAGTAATCATCTGTGGTTTGTCGCTACACGAATTTAGTAAGAAAAGGTCAACTTTATTACTAGCTAATTACGTAACAACTACTAGAAAAATAAGAGCGGCAAAAGATTTTTAGCAAGATGAGATTTTTCTTTTCTGTACTTGGTTTCTGGTAGAGAAAATGGAGGCTCTGCTGGAACAATCAAATTGATCGAGTAACTGCTCCATTTTCGACCTGAGAGATTTAACCTCATCTGGGCTGGCAAAAGACTCTAACACCAAGTAACCTTCAGAGTTGAAGAACTGCAGCTGGTCTGAATTTAGGTTTCCAACAATTCCCATCGCAGATAATTTTTTCTTTTTTTCTTTATCTTTCGTGGGGGATTAATATGAGTGAGAGATTTTTGCTGTATTTGAGGGGTTCCTCCGAGAGAGTTGTTGAAGATGGAAAAGAGCTCTTAAAAGTCAAACAAAAAACAAATAGGTATATGATGATTATCGTACAAACTGGGTGTTTCTTTCCCTTTTGATTTCCTTCCCAATGATTAAGCTACGTGGCGTGTTGCAGATCCGAAATCGAAATAAAAAGAAAATGGAAAATTATATAATTGGGTGTATTCGAGATTTCTAAATTTTTTTTTTTAAGACTTTATAAACCCTCTTATATTTAATTTAGACGTTTTAATAAAGTCTTGAGTTATTTAAAAGTTTTTCATGAGATATTTAGCTTATTTGAATTTATGATTTGTTATTATGAGGTATTTAAATTATTTGAGACTATGATTGTTAAAACTTTGTAATATCTGTTGGGATTAAAAAAAAAAAAACTTTATATAAAATCTTACTTCAAATTTCACCTTGATATTTAAGATTTTACAGAAAAATCTTAAAAGTCTCACGTCTCAAAAAGGTCACTAGAAATTCCAGACCAATACACCCCGATTAGTTTCACTCGCCTTTATCAATTTGAAAATTAATTTATATATTATGGAATATTCAGTTAAAAGATATAATAGGGAACATTTTCTTAAAAATTCTTATAGCAATTTTGTTAAAAATAATAATATATTAAATCTCGAATAGAATAAGGGAGATCACTAAAGCTACTTTCATCTTTGTATTTAGTATCATGGAATTTTTTTATTTTTATTTTTTTTGTACAAAAAGAGAGGCCGAAGCCTAGGGGGTCCTAAAGGGCCACTTGACGTGGGTAAGCCACGCCGACGATATCATGTTCTAACCAATGGCCAACTTCCCACGGTGGGTCCCAAAGGCGATGATAACCAATCGGAACCTCCGAGCTAGGGAGGCTAACTTATCGGCCGAGAAATTACCTTCCCAATAAATATGAGACACCTGAACAGTCCAGTCCATCCTGATCAACTCACGTACGGCCATAATAATATTTACATGAGGGACAACGCTAATCTCAACCCCCGTCACCATAGATACGACACTACTTTTATCCACCTCCACAATCACTTGTCGTGCGCCCAATTCCCAAGCCAGTCGGAGCCCATGGAATAGATCCCAAATCTCCGCCCCAGAAAACCACCAATCCAGCGACCATTGAATCCCGCACTAACCCTCCTGCACTACCCCTTCCAGAAACAGTACAGAGAGCACCATCTGTGTTGACTTTAATCCAACCCGTCGGTGGAGGTGTCCATCTGATCATAAGACACGATGTCCATCTGATCAAACAGTACAGAGAGCACCATCCGGCGATTCAGCACCCCCACGCGGCCTCGCAAGACACGATGTCCAAGTACCTGGCCACACACCGCCTAATGTCCTGTAGCTGGGCCTCAAAAGACACACTTTTATTCGCAAAGATGGCCGTATTTCGCCAATGCCAAAGGCGCCAACAGGTGATGGAAAATGTGGTCGCCCAATTCTCTACTCCAATCTTGCTAGATCCCATCAAGTTAGACCCGATCCACTCACGTAGCTCATGATCGAAAAAATTCCTCTAATCAGAAGGCAGAATCAAAGCAGTCCACAAGCGCCGCGCCTGATGACAGTCCCGTAAAACGTGAACTGTCGACTCCGGACATCCACAGCGGTAACATGCCTCATCCACAGCCACGTGTTGCCTAGTCCGCTCCATGTTCGTGAACAAGCGACCCCGGCCCGCCAGCCATAAAAAATGACGTACGCGTTGGGCCGCCGGCGCTCGCCAAATGGCTCGCCACAAAGGGCGAGCGTGATCCTGGGCCGCCGTCATGCAAGTCAAGGCTTCATAAGTCGACTTCGTCGCGAAAGTACCTTTCGGCGTGTATCCCCAGATCAAATGATCAGGCCGCGCTGAGGGTCTTGGTGGCAGGATAACCGCAATTTGTAGAAGAGTAGTGGTAGGCAATAGGTCCTCGAATTTCGCCCACCACCAATCCCCAGCCGCAGTGACGTAAGCAGCCACTGGTGCTTGAAGCTGCTCTGCTGGTACACTTCTGGTAGCCACCGTAATCAAAGGTGTCGGCCCGTGAAGCCACACATCCACCCAGAATCGCGCGAGGCCACCATTACCCAAAGCCCAGCGAGCACCCCTCTGGACATGCGGCCAGACTTTAGCTAACGCCTTTAAACATACCGACCCTTTAGGAAATCTGAAATTGCTTGCCATTTCTGACGGACGCAAATTATATTTCGCGCACAACACCCGAACCCACAACTTATCCGGCCTCGAGAGAAATGTCCACCCTAGCTTCATTAACAGTGCCTCATTAATAAGTCGCGATTGTTTCAGACCGAGCCCACCACAATCCCGCGGTTTGCACATACTTGACCAAGATACCAAATGCGGCTTGCGGTTTTTCGACGTCTCACCCCAAAGAAAGGACCGGCAAAACTGGTCGAGTCTATAACAGACGGCCGAAGGTAGAACAACAGTCTGCACGGCGTAGTAAGGAAGCGAACAAAGCACTGACTGGGTCGAAGTCAATCTCCCCGCCGCTGATAGAGATGCCGCCTTCCATCCCGCAAGCCGACTTTCAGCCTTTTCTACGATCCCCGATACGTAGCCGTTGTAACCCGACTATGGATAAGTGGCATCTCCAAATAGGTCCCCAAATCCTCAACCCTAACATAGCCCAGCTGCTCTGAAATTTCCTGGCGCTGCATTTCGTCAACGGAGGTAGAGAAAAATATCAGAGTCTTAGAGGAGCTAACCTTTAAGCCCGAGGCCATGCAGAAGTCGCCAAGCACCTGCAACAAGACATCGGCTTGGACCGTGGACGCCTCAAGGAACAACAGCAGGTCATCAGCAAACATTAGAAAGGGGACATTAACCGTCCCTCGACCCAATGATATAGGTTTCCATGCTCCACATGAGACCGACATCCCGATTAGTTGAGCCAGTCGCTCCATGCAAAGGACAAATAGATATGGAGACATCGGGTCACCTTGTCGGACCCCTCGAGTTGGGTAGAACTCCTCACACACCTCCCGTTCCAAAGTAAGTTCATCGAACTAGAACTCCCACAGGACATAATGGCCTGAACCAGTTGGGCCAGGAATCCAGCCATGAAAAGCGTCTCAAGGATAAAATCCCATCGCAGAAAATAATACTCCTTCTCAAGGTCCACCTTGATAACCATATGACCCATCCCCGTCCGCCGCATCTTCATCGAATGGATGAGTTCCTGAGCCACAATTATGTTATCCGTGTGAGTAGTCATGAAACTTTTTTGGATCATATTCCCCACTTCCACAAGTTCTTCCCACTTAACACCCCAACAACATAAAACATGCACAAATCATCCTATGGACATCACATCATACTCACAAATTTTTACAACTTTTTATCGTAATTTTTTTTTTTTTTATCATTTCTCACATTCTTCCTTTCTCCCCTCCTCTTTCTCATGCATTATTTTTTCTTTTTCTTCTATTTTTCCAGATGATGCGCAACGAAGGCACGCAAAAAAACAAACGTGACGAACTCCAGCAAAAAATAGATGTGGTGAATGCCATCAAAAGTCGAATGCGACGGCATGAACTCTAGCGAAAAGTGGATGCAACGAACTCTGACGAAAGACGAATGGAATGAACGCCGACGGAAGACAGACGCGACGAACGCAGATGAAAGATGAATGCAACGAACTCTCAACAAAAAATCTCGCATAACCATAACCCCCAACTCGTCTTTTTCAAGTAAACGAAGATTGTCCCTTTTTGTGAAATCTCTCGGCGTGTGAGGGGAAGTTTATTAATTATCCCCTTTTTTTATCAGTGGATTCTTGTTCATCATATGAATCCAAAAAAAGAAGTGCAAACGATTGTCGATTGTTGTCATATTTATCAACTATTTATATTAGGTTATGTTAATTTTCTTGTAGATGAACATAGTACCATTATGCATGCATATGATACCCATTTGCGGATAATGTAGTACCTACTTTGTTTGTATTGGATACCTGCTAGAAGGTTTGAAATTTATTTATCCAACTCAATTATGATCATATGCACAATCGACGTCCCCAAGCAAAAATTTCTGGAATGTTTACAAATTTGTTTACTAATATACTAGTCCTAATATATTATTTTTTGTAGGGAAAAATCTTGTAAAGATATATTTGATATTTTGTCCATAGATTGATCCAAAAAATTTTTATTTTTGTTATGTGGTATAACAAACGGGTTTGAAGGATTGCGAAAAAAATAATCACATCACAAGTTGATGTTGCGGTTCGACATTATAAGCTTTGTGGTAAACTTGGACATAATCGATGTACGTGCAAAGAACATATTTATTTCAATGCACTGTACTTTGTTCAGTCAGATGTAAATGGTTTTTTGTTTTGTTCATGTGCATTTTGTAATTATATGTTTAAGACGTTGGAATAGGTTTTTCGATGGAACATTATCAACATATATGAGAATGAGTGTATGGATATTCTGTAAGTAGTATTACAGTACATACAAAGAATGAAATTGACCCTTACATCAATTTATTATGGAGTAGTTTGATTTATATATGTTTTTTCAATAAGTACAAGTAATTCTTGTTTGTTCAACAAAGTTGGTACTAAATATTACTAAGTACTGGGAAACATCAAAACTGTTATTGCATTTTTGCAATACATACCAGTATCGGTTTTCTCAACTTTATAACAGGTACAAGTAGTTCGACTCTTTTTTGCCTACCTTATAAGAGAGGGATGAATTCCCCATTCGCTTCGCTCGGTGCAGTTACCGAACTTAGTTGTGAAAAGAAAAAGCAGATCAAAGTCCTCAAGATGGGAGTTATCTGCTCTCTCTGGTTCCCTGTTTGCACCCAGGTAAATAACGAACGAGATGAATACCGAGGTTAAACGAGCATGCCACGTGTTTGTTCAACAAAACTGGTATTTACCGCTGCATGAGTACTAGAAAACGTCAAACTTGGTACTATCATATTGAAGTTCCAGAATCAGTTTTCTAAAAATATAATAGGTACAAGTAATTCTTATTCGTTCAATAGACTTGGTCCTAAATGCTATATAATAAGCACTAGGAAACTCCAAGCATAGTACTGTCCTTTTGCAACACTAGTATCGGTTTTCTAAACTTATAATAGGTAAAGTATTTTTTGTTCGTTCAACAAAGTCGGTTCCCCACTTCCGTGTAGTTGTCTCAGAGTCGGTAAAACACAAACCGTATGATTTTGTTGTGCTTAGGATTAATTTTTTAAAATTCGAATAACGAATAATTAATCGATGTTCTTCGCCAAATCCAACAGGAAGCTTAGAACCAAAATTTACCTCAAACTCCAATGATTCCCTTCTTGGGTAACCAATACAATTACAAGGTCGGTCCATCCGACTGAAGACGACTCACAACGTACATTATGCATTTTTTTTCTACCATTGTGAATTCTTGGATAAAATTTGTCAACACCTAAGCGTTAATAGACTGTTTAGGTCATACTTGATCGCATATTCATTTAGTTCCACCACTCATTTAACTAGTGAACCTAAAGCATATGGCCACCTTAAAGTTTCTTTTATTGGAAATTGGTCTGAAATACCACCTTTTATTTTTTAAACAAAAACACCCCGGAGGATGGGGAATTAAAGCAGGATAGTAAGGTTGCAACTTATCGCAGTTGGGGGCGTAAAGTCGTCCTCGATCTCAATATCATTTGCCTACTTTGGAGCTTTCTAGTTTCCTCTTAACCACATTGATTCATATTTCCAAGCATGTAGTGAATCGTGAACTCTGAGTGATCAAATCCCAAAACTCTCCATTCTTACTATTAAAAGAAAACAAAACAAAAAAAAAACAAACAAACAAACAAATCATCCGACCTTTCGAAGTGTTCAATTGAAAAAAGGCCATTAGGTTGTCACATGAAGGAAGTGGTAAATCATGTTGGTTAAATAGAACTAGCAAGGCTATCACCCTTATCCAGGTACTATGATAAATCTGACTAATACCTAAATCTTCCCAACCCTCTCAATTTGAAGCAATGGAAACATTCAAAGACGCATTAACTATCGCTATACTGCCCAACGGTGGACATTGCATCCTTTTCTTGAGGATAAGGGACAAGCATTTTGATGGAGGATGGGATTTTAGATATCTCTTAATTTAATTATATCACACAAACAAATTACAATTAGCGAAGAACATACAAAAAACAAGGAAAGGAAGAACTCTCAAGAGCTTTTGACTAAATGAATATGCGTTTCATCCTTGCTCTAATGTACAACACACAATCTTTCATCACAGAAACAAATAACAATTAGCCAAGAACATACAAAACAAGGAATAGAAGAACTCTCATAGCTTTTGACTAAATGAATATACTGCTCTAATGTACAACACACAATGGACAATGCATGCCCGAACCTCTCACACAACTTGTCAGAAAATAGTAGCTAAGATAACATGAAGAAATTCCATGTATACACTAATGCCTGGGTAAAATTTTGCATCTTCCCTAGTAAAACTATACCTTCTCCCTCTCTTGCATCATGCACAAAAAGTTGCATTTTTTTTTTTTTCCTTCTAATTTTACCCGGCCAACAATCACATTCCTGCTACACAACATCTCCTATCCCCCTTCACCAAAAACACAGAAGAAAATTAAAAAAAATTGTTTTCAGCCCTCATTTTTAGGGAGGGAAAAAATAAAAGAATTGCAATCAAAGGTATATACGGGGGTTAGCAGCCACACGTGCACAACTACAAAAAAGGAAACGAAAAGAACCTCTCTAGTTGTTTCTGTGCCCTGAAACAATCACGTTTTGTTTCTCGACTCTATTTGTCTGTCCTCTGAATCAATCTTGTCGTGTTTGATGATAAAGATGATGGTTTTGAATCCTCTGTTTTGTTCAATTTGCACATGCAATCTGGGCAGGGATACGAATATATGGAGTCGTTTGGTCTCTTGATCTCTATTCCTTTTGAGTCACTATGTGATCGCATATTTAGCATTTGCCGTTTGAAGCTCCTCCACCTACAGAGATGAAAGTATCGTTATTTAGAACAGAAAAACCTAATACTAAAATAATAAAACACTAAGAAAAGAACTTTTAAAACAGAAAAGAACAAGCTGAAAACAAGAAAAACTAAAAACTCAAAAAATTGTAACCCTCAGGAAAAAGGAAAACTAAAAGAAAAAAAAAAAAGAAAATTGAGAAAAGAAAATACTAAAACTTGAAAGGAAAAGAAAGTAAAATTTGAAATCCATCTGAAGGTTTGACACTTTTGCCAAAACATGGAAGCTGACCAAAATGAAAGATGTGGCACAGAGGTAGAAAAGATAAAAACTGAGAAAAATACATTACCCAATATTTGGATTATCAAATAATAATGCCAACTTCCGCTTGTCTGGCCTAATTGTCCTAGAGTGTCCTCCATACAAATATCTTCTGTGCCCCAAAAGGAACTGGGGAAAATTTCCACCTTGAGTCGTGACAAATACTTCACTATGAAGACACACAGTGTAATCTATAGCAGCCATTCTAGATGAGTAGTTCTGCAAAATGAGTAACTCGAGTCACATATTAAACAGCATGAAAACAATAAACTGGCAAGGAAAGAGAAAGGTCAGATTTCGTTCAGGCTTTTTACCTGAAACGGTGCTAGCTCCTCTGCAGATGCCAGCATCTCTTTTGTTTGCAGCAATGGGAACATTTCTAACAGAGGAGCCATATACCTTTCAGAGTCATATATCTTTCCAGATGCCAAAAATATTGAAGTACTTTTGTCAAAGCCCATCCCCCTGAGCATTAAACCTACCTGATCAATAAAACATCAGTAAGTGAAAAGTACATGGTGTTAAAAGATTATGAGGAGAAAATCGAGGTAATTAGAGTTCAATATAAAATTCCGAATTTAAGTTCAATAATGTAATGTCAAGATTACAAATTGAAGCCTACACAAGAAACAAAAAAAATTAAGGGCTTGATTATTTACGAAATAGCTTTTTCAAAATGAGTTATTTTGGTTAACCATAGTTAATTTTAAAAAAGGTGGTATAGTTCGTTGTTAGTGGAATTTTAAAAATGTATTCAAATAATATTTAAAATAAAATGATTAAAATTGATTTGATATAAAAGTAGGACATAAATGATTGGAAATGATAGGTAGTTAAAATTATGTGAGTGAATGAATAGTGAATTAAAGTTGATGTGATGTGTAAGAATAATTGGTTTGCATTATTTAGTTATATGAATAATATTAAAGATAGTGGGGTTGAGTTAAAGTTGAGTTAGATTTTGAGTATGAGATAAAGGTGAGTAAATTAACTCATAAACAAGCATGCCCTAAACATTTCAAGCTATTCAACGTGAATCATACACATGAGACACAATATATCCACATATCAAAGTAAAAAGGATGACTCGTGTCTTTGAGCACACGACATACAAAGCTACAAGAATCTGCTGAGCAATACAATCATGTCTAATACAACTGATCACTTGCCACAATACAATTCCAACAGCCAAACACTAATAATCGAAGGAGAAAAAAGATTTTCCACAAAAGAACTGTTCAAAGATACATTCTCAGCCATATATATGAAAAGTCAAGCAGTAGCCACCATCGGACCATCCTAATGTGTAGTCTGTTACTCTGTTTAAATGTCCCTTCCAGACCTTACATGCTTTTACAATTGAATTATCGAACTCTTGCCTATTTATTTATAAGAAGTCTCATATTCAGCCAACCAGATCCTTCTTCCAGCAACAGATATATTAAACTTCCATCTGAAGTTACAAACTTTTATCTTCTCTTACCAAATAAAAAATCTATTTCCCATCACATTTGATTCACAAGAAGACTTAGGCATTAGACATGAAATTACAACATCTCTCTCAACATAAAACCAATAATGCTCACAATATTTAAGATATGGTCACTTAACCCTGGGTATTCTTGGTAAAATTTATACTGAATAATGGGCCTATAACATATGTTCTGTAGCTGAAAGTTGTTTCTGTTACATGTCATAGTAAATTCATCTGCTTTAAAAGCTTCAAAACACAACATTTGCGCGAGTACTTTATAAGATCTCTCACTCACACCACTACCCATTTAATAAACTCAAATGTAAAAAACTACCAAGTATGCATTGAAAAAGAAAAGAGAAATGCACTACCTCTAAAGGTGTCAGGGGGCACTTCCCATTTAATCTGATGGCCCCCGGACGAATGACCCGACCTCGTTTAGTAAATTTTCCCTTCCAACCTCTTTCCCTTGCAGCATCCATGTCTAGTTTTTCTTGCTCTCCACCATCGTATACACAGCAAGAGAAAGCGACCATATCCTATAATAGAAAATGAAGTGAGAACTTTTTAAATTTTCAAAGAACAGAAAAAGGCAAAAGAAAAAAATAAAAATGAAAACCCCTTTCCGTCTAAACTGACCTCCTCAAAGCGAAGATGCACAGAGATATATTTGCCACTATTATTAGCACTTCTCTCTTTCATTCTTGCAACTAATGTTTCACCTAAAGTCAAAATAGGATCCGAAAACTTCAGAGCTTGATAGTTCGCCAAGCATCTAAGACGTTGAACTGCAGGCGGAGCATCGAATGACAGTCGATTTGCAAAAGGAGAGATTCTTATGATCCTGTGTCAGCCAATACAAAAAATAAGTTCAAATGGAGTTGTAATATGTGAAACTGGTTAGATATCAGCAATGAAAATTCTACTACAAATGTAAGAAACAGACTAAGTGTCAAACTTTCTCCTTTAGAATTAAAAAATAATCAATTACAAACATATTGTCAGAAACCAAAAAGTTAAGCAACATGTTGCTTTCCAATTTCATACGAAAAATGATATAATCCATATATTTCAGAAATCACAAATGAAAACAACAAAGAACAAAAAGAAAGGAGCCATGATGGAACTAACTAAAAATAGAAAGATATATTCTCCCAAAGGAAAAGAGAACCAGATAAACTGTAAGTAAAGTACAAGAAATCTTGAAGACTCACTTTTCTTCTAGTAGCTTTGGAAGAACTGTGTCTGTATAGTACTTGATGGATGACCATGCTTTTATCCGGAAGTTGTGCACATTGCTCATATTATAGTCAAACCTCTCCATTATGTGGCCCGGGATTGTTCTAACTATTCGCACACCATTTTCTAGTGTTTTTATAAAGAAATCTTCATCATAAATATCACCAAATTTGCTGCACAAAGAAAATCACCATCAGGCATGTCATTGTTTTAAATGAAAACGGATCTCGCACAGCATAAAGCTATAAGCCTTCATCTCAATACAAAATAAGTTTCCACCAAGGACTGCTACTGTAATCTGACAACCGAAAGCGCCAGAGGCAGGCTCAAACAGGTAGCTTGCCAAGTTCTCTAATTCTCATGATGTATACAGTTCACAGATAAGCAATCCAATGTTACTGATTAAATCATGATTAACTAATTAGAAAACACACACATACACCAGTAGTATATACTCAATTCATACTAACAAGCTCATTTCCCCAATGTTTAGTCCCCAATAAGAACTGACATCCTGCTGAGAGTTATTTAACCACGCCAAGTAATATAGATTATACAATGTATAACAAAGTAAATGTGTAATTGTATTCAAGAGAAGGCTCATTACCAATCTAATTAAGTTCAAGCACAATCTTAGGCTTGATATAAAGAATCAATAAAGCTTCAGCAATCTTCCTTTAACTCTAACGTATAAATCTATTCTCGTTTCAAATAAGATGATATGGAAAAGAAAAATCAAGGATTTTCAGTAAAAATGTATCAAAATGAGGTTATATGAGTGCAACCAAGCAAATAGCACATCATAAAATCAAATAAATGCATTACAAATAAGGTCCATATGCATCTTTAGTTAGCTAATGACCCATGTTAAATCTATAGAAATGTTCCCCACCTTGGATCTCTCCAAATGCTGTGAAAATGGAAGTTTGGAATTACAAGAGTTGCATTGAGGTAGCCTGCCACAGCAACAGCATTGCATATCTGGAAAAAAAAAACAGAACCATAGTGTGCCACAAAGACCATAAATATGTGAGTAATAGTGAACTCCAGAACAACTAAAATAAGAAAGATATATAAAAACCTACTGATGTTCTCTGCTGATTCAAACCACCATTGGCCTCGACAAAAATATATCCATTTGATTCAGGTAAGCCTACAATAATAAAAAAGAAAATGAAAATGTTAAGGAATTACATTTTCATTACTGAAGCTCAACAAAACATACAGAAGCAGAAAATCGTAAGACCACAAACGAAATACAACAGAGAATACACATGGATGAGAGAAATGTATGACAATAATCTGACAAATCATGTTCTACTCAGCAAGGATCCTCACTTCCACACAAGACACTTAATCATCTAGGTTAAGCACAAAAGAAGACAACAATCGTCAAAGTGTATACATAGAGATTCAGCAGGTCGGGGATAAAACCAAGAGATAATGCTTTAGTACTATCTTCCATTGTCAAATGACAAATCACAAATTAGAGAAGTTATATTGACTACGGAAACAGCCTCCTTGTATAATTACAAGGGTAAGGTCTGCGTACAACTGACCCCCCAAACCCCAACCTGTTGGGAATATACTGGGTATGTTGTTGTTGTTATTGTATAGTGACTAGCAATACCAACAATAAAAATAGAATCGATTGGAAAGTTGGGAATATACGTTGTTTGTTGGAAAGTTCGTTTTTCAGAAAACAGCTCATCATCCCTTGATAATATCAACATCAGTCACATGTTGACAAATTGCTAGATGTTTTAATCAACTAACAAGTAGGTTTAGCCCACATGCATGCAACATCAGGCACCATAAGTGTCGCCTCAATTAGATATCCTTTGAGGATTAGAACACAAGAAAAAGTGAACCAACCAAAGGTTAAGCAGGAACAATTATACTACGGGACACGTGGCTATTTTTTATTTTTTTATTTTTTATTTTTCTTCTATTAAGCACATCATCAGCAGCGTGTTAGACATTTTTAAAAGACGCAAGCGTGTTAGACTAAATACGTGTAAAAGGACAAAGAAAAGGCTTAATCAGGCCACAGTTAAGCTGATGCTCGCTGAATTTTGGATCTAGACATGCTTTTGAGTCGACTACAAGCAAAATGAACATGTGGAAGGGACCACAAAATTCATGGCAAGGGTCAATAAATTTCACTCTTCTTATCCTGATAAAATTACAAACTTAGGTAGTCTGCAGTAATAGTCAGCTCAGCAATTTAATTATGTGTTGTCAAATCCAGGCCAAATTCTGGCAAATAAAATTTGAAAACTACATTACTTCCGAAAATATCTTTCTCTGTTTCCACTATCCAGCAAATATCGGGACTTAATTGTCTACTCAGATGCAGTATGCTTCTACTTAGCTCTTCCAACCATATTAGACAGCTATGTTCAAAGCAATTAAGAGCCCAAAACTTGAAGAAAAGAAGTAGAGCCGAACCAAAAATTCCAATGATGAGGAATCTTCATACCTTTAGTAGACATGTTGATGCAAGGTCTCCATTCACCACTTTTATATGAGTGCTTCCATATTGTTGATATCTGTGTTTTACAACTCCAATTAACATTATTAGATGAGAAATAAAAAACCAAAACCTTCAAGGTAAAAGACAGCCCCGGCTATTTTTTCACTAATATATGCGTACATAAATATACATCAAATATAGATTATAGAATGATAATATTCTTTCCCACTAAGATAACCACATCAACAAATTACAGAAACATTAGGTTTGAACATGATTTGTGGGTGATTCAAGATAAGCAACTTATTTCCCTAATGGATGCATTCCTTGAATCACACATTTGTCGTACTTTTGGGCCAAGTATTCAACTTCCATGCTTAGTACCATCATATTTATCGGTCAACTATTTGAGATGTTGAAACTTCTAAATTATTATAAATGCGGCTGGGATAATTGAATTTATCTCAACTTTTTCTCTCATTACTTTTCCCACATGTCGACCTCATCATCCAGTTAATCAACTTCCTCAGCAGATCATTTCTAAACTAGTGCTGCAATTGATGCCGAGAAAATGATAACACAAATCTTTCTCAAATTTACATATTCATGAAAATAGGAAAAGCATGAATAGCATCCCAAAAATGCAATCAACATAAGCAAGTCTTTTTCATCAGAAAATGCCACAGTAATACGATAATGACATGATTCACCACTGCCTGATTTCCAAGTTATCATGATGCTACTGTTACTGAAAAAATATTCTATCATTTTCCCCTATGCTATCAAGTAGCATAAAGTTCATTTTTTGTTTTTCATTTTATCCACATTCAAGACTTAACTATAAAACTAGCTTGAAACTTTTGGGAGCATAAATAGTGTTTTATCCACTTTCCTGGAAATAAATTAACATACTACGGCTCTTCATTAAACCAAAGTGTAAATCAAGTTGTGTTCAAATCCACACAAAGGCGTACTCTAAACTAGTGCAGTTGGCGAAGCGATAGTGTTGCCAATCTAGGCTCACAAACAAAGAAATCGTAGCTATAAAATTAAATTCCATCCACCCCTGGAAGCTATAAAAAAATATCTCATCTGGAAAGAATTGGATCTCAAACACAGAAATAGCTCCCTATCATGAATATATGAATCGATGAAGCCTAGTTTTTATACTTAATCTATGTCAAAAGCTTGAAAAACATTAGAAGCNAGCACATACAACTTTGGAGTTATCAGTTTCCACCTAACTGAAAACATACCAGATACAATTAATTACTCGAGTACTAGGAAGATGGAGTGTCAAAATCACCATAAAACAGTAAATGTCATTTTCAATCTGAACTTCAACAACTTCGCACTCTTGAGAATATTAATTACCACACTATGGGGCAACAATAAAAATAAAAGGACACACAACATTTACCCAAAAAAAATTATGAAATTGGTTGCAGGGAAGTGGAAGCACTAACCGCATCGGCCGTGGAATTATCCGCGTCCATCTCGGGTCGGAGCTTGGCGAACAGCTGGGGGCTCCGATAAACGGACCCTGGGGAAAGCCGGTGCTTAATCACCGGGACCACATCGAACGACACCGTCCCCATGTAGAACAGCATCCCCGCGATATAGAGGAGAGGGGCGAAGAGGAAAATCCCCTGCCGCTTTAACAGAACGGAGAGCAGGATCCAGGCGAGGCGCTGCGCGAGGGTCTTGGGAGGCGGCCTCCCCGATTTGGAGCCGCGGTGGCGGTACCGCGGGGAGCGGCTGAGCGGGGACGCCGGCGGCGACGATGGGCTGCTGTGTCCGCTGCTCGGGAGCCGATTGTAGGCGTGCATCGCGGTCTTTCTTCACATCATAGAGAGAGAAATGGCAACGGATATTCTCGCCGGACGAGCAGAAAACCGCAGATTCGAAATTGCGAATAGGACGAGGCGTGATTGTCTGTGCAGGGGCACAGGGAGAGAGAGAGAGAGAGAGAGAGAGAGAGAGGAATGACTCTTGCCTCTTGGCTTATATACAATATATAGATCAAACTATTCAATCAATCGGCACAACTTGACTCATATCGCCTTAAGATTTTATCTTTTGTTTTCACCTAAAAGATGATAGCGACCCATTAAAAAAAACAGGTTGAGGATGAACTTTGCAGACAGCAAAATTAGAAATTTATTGAATNAGAATTGGGCAAGCCCTGATTACTCACATTTATTACTACTTACTTATTGAAAAATACTCGCTGCAAATTTATCCATTTTATTGAATTTTCCAAGATTGTATATAGGTCATTTCTTAACAATGTTAAAAGAATCGGAACTAGGGAGGTTTATCGGTCGGTTCGGTCGGAACTACAAAAACCGAATTAACTGAATTGTTAAATTTCAAAAATTGAACTGACCGAAATAAGTACCTAAAATCGAAGTATAACCGAATCGAATTGTTCGGTCAGTTGGGTCGGTTAACCGAATTTTTAAAGTAGAATAAAAAGTTTCAAAATGAAATGGTATCCAATTAATCCCATGTGTTTTTTCTCATTATATAACAATCCAAGTTTTCTGAATTTCAGTGAAAAGACAAAATCAAGTACTTGATGTATATGGAGCACAAATCAATGCATCAATAAACAGAGCTTGATGTACAAATACTCAGTACTATGAAAACCCAGTTAATACACATGAGTTGAATCTTGATTAACAGAATTGTTGTTGGATGAAATTTAACAACTAAAATAAACAGTAGCAAGGTGTAATTAAGATGAAAGCAATGTAAATTTTCGTATTATTGCTATCACAAAGAGCGTACAGGAGGTCGGTTTTTGTGTACAACTGAGTTATTTTATTCATCCGTGTACAATGTATGTAAAAAGATCCTCGTACAATCATAAATTCTGCTATTTATAGTGCGGTGAGTTTGATTTTTCGTACGAGGTAGATCAGATCGCATTTAATGTTGAGCAGCTTCATTGAAGCGGTCTGTAGTGTAATGAGGAGATAACAATGATCACATTTTGATAAGTGGCCCAATCAGGAATGTGCTTTGTCACCTGCTTTAGGATTCAATTACTTCAGACCTCGGTTTGAATAGATAATCTTCAGGAAAGAATGTCCGTGAAGTCAGTTCATTGTTTTTTATGCGAAGTCGGTTTACTGCCTTGAGTAGGTTGGTTGTTATCCATATGTGCAAAGTCGGTCACTGTCTTTTTGTACCAATGTGGATTAAGTTTGCTGCAGGAACTGAACTGGGGAGAGTGTTTGAGAACATAATCAATTAAATCTTCTTTTAATCTTGATAAATCAAGTCGGTCGTCAACAAGAATAAAAAAGTAAAACATACAAGATTCTCAGTTCTCGCAAGTCACAAATATACATACATGATACATGATTAATAGAATCAGTAAAAATAAACATCTCAGAAACAAACATGATTTTTCACTACATATATACAATTAGAAAATAAAACAAAAGAAAAATATTTGTACTTAGATATGAGATGAAACTGAAAATAAAACTGAGATTTTGGGAGGGATAGAAAAATCGGGGAGAGACTGTCGCCCTTGACCGGAACGAGCTACACGCAGACGCGATGATGAGGGGATGATTTTTTGCAGAGCGGACGATTTGTGGGATGAATTGGATTGAGGCGATTCAGGGTGGACTACGGAGGAGCAGCGGTGGAGGATTTGGGGAAGGGAGAGAGTGTCCTGTTTCTGAAATCTAAAGATGTTTAGGAGTTACTGAGTTAGGGTTATTTTATTAATGATAAAATATTATATTATATTATATATCTATTATATAGATTAGGAATTAGGGTTATTGTATATTTGTATTATTAAAATATTATATATTATATATAGTATACTATTATATGTATATATATATATATATATATTATTCGGTCGATTCAGTTATTTCGGACATTTGATGTCCGAAAACCAAAACCCGATCGAATTAATCAAACAATAGTAGATTGAAAACCGACAACAGACCGAGTCGGTCAAAAACCAAACCGAAATTTTTGGTTCAGTCGATTTCGGTCGGTTCGGTCAATTTTAATCGAATTATGCACATCCTTAATCAGAACTGTGTAACTTGGAAATAAACCGCCAAGTTACAGTTTAATATTTTGTGACATTGTTTTAAGGTAAGGGTGTATTCAATGATTCTTAAACATTTTTTGAGATTTCAAGAAATTTGGTAATTCGTTCTAAATATGTAAAAAATCTTGACAAGTTATGAGTTATTCATTTGAAAATTAAAAAAAGAAAAAAGAAACAAGAAAAATCTTACAATGTCATGAGTTATTTATATAAGATTCAAAAAATTTAAAAAGTCATGAAATGTTCAGTTTATTTATCGCAATGATTTGTGTGGACTTTTTAAAATTTATTGAAATTTCGAAGACAAAATAAAACTATCAAATTTCACTTCAATCTCACCTCTAGATATAAGATTTCGAAGATCAACTTCAATCATCTACTCTGTAGTTCACAGTATATTTTACTCTACATAAAATATATTAGTTTGAAATAAATTTACATATAACTATAAAATCAAAATTTAAAATCATTTCAAATAAGTAAATAATTTTTATAATGTATATTTTGCCAAAATAATATTATAATTTAAAATTACTTAAGAAATAAGAAAAAACATAGTGCAGTGAACAATACTTTATTATATCTAGAGCAATAAGTTTACATCTTCATAGTACTAGGAGAGCAATAATGTTTACATTTCATAGTACTGCGAAACTATACCATATTGGAGTAAGTTTTTGCACTATTTTGAAGATTTCAATGTATAGTAGCACAGAAGTTCAGAAAAGCAAAAAGGGGAAGATTGTTAAATCATATTTTTGATTATTTTTTATTTTGCTTTTCTGATTTATTTTAATATATATATATATAGTTTATTTTATATGGTATGATATTATTGTGTTTCCTTATCTTATTAGGTGTCCTACTAGGTAAAGGAAGTAAAAAAGATAGGAAGAGATTTGTCTTGGAGAAAAAGAAAGGAGGGAGCTGCGGATGTTAGAGCAAAGAAATAAAAGAGCAGCTCATCTTTTCTTTGGGCTAGAGGATTAATGTGGCAATAATTTACATAACAAAGCAGCAATTTTTCCCTTCAGGAGTCTTGGACGTGAGAGGAAAAATATAGGAGCAGCACATCATTAATTGGTTTTGCTCTTTGGCAATACAATCATACAAGCAAAGTCGAGCAAGTAGGCGTGCGGTCTGATTGGAATATTTGAAGAGGAGCAACAGGATACATTTATTTTTCTTTTGGCATGATTTATTTGATGATCTAAATTGATATAGTGCATATTAGTATCGAACTGGCGATTTAATATTTTTGTATTCACTAGACGTGTTGGTGATTGTTTTGAATTTGTTTGAAAAACATTGTGATTAATTTGTTCTAGTGATTTTTTGGCATGTTGCCTTAGTCTACAAGTGTATATTCACTTGTAGGCTAAATTTTGAATCTTTCGTATTATTTATTTCTGCTGCGTATTTTATTTTTGATCTTTGTGTGAAAATCTGGAGTTTTCGGTACCTAAAATTCTAACAAGTGGTATCAGAGAAGGTCGCTTAATTTAATAAGTGTGATTCTGTCTCGATAGGTACACATGGAGTTCAACGGAACTTCGCTTTTTCGGCCTCCGATTCTCGATGGCTCAAATTACATCATTTGGAAGATGCGTATGATGTCCTACATTAAATCCATTGATGGACGGGCTTGGTTATCTGTACTTTCCGGATGGGAGCCTCCTACTATAGAAATTGAAGGGGAGAAACACGAGAAAAATGAAGACGAGTACAGTACGGGTGAGAGCACTTTGGCCAACTTCAATTCAAAAGCACTCAATGCAATTTTTGGCACGGTCGATGAGAACATGTTTCGCTTAATTAGCACGTGCACTACTGCCAAAGATGCATGGGACACCTTGCAACGTCATTGTGAGGGTTCGAGGAGTGTTTGTCAAACGAGGCTGCGTCTTCTTGCGGCAAAATTTGAGACAATCCGAATGCTCGAAAACGAGAATATCTCTTCATACACGGCCAAATTGATGAGTATTGTCAATGAATGTCACTCCCTTGGGGACCCGATCTCAAATGAAAGGCTCGTGGCAAAAGTAATGAGATCTCTTCCAAAGCGTTTCAACATGATGATCACGGCGCTTGATGTTTCGAAGGATGTGACGACCATTAAATTTGATGATCTTGTTGGCTCTCTGAAGACGTTCGAGATGAATCTTGAGGTGCAAGATCTCGAAGAAAATAGTGCACCTTTCGGAAAGGGGAAGGGAATCGCTCTTAAGTCTGTCTCCGAGAATGATGATAATCTGGAGAATCTAGTTCGTGATATAAAGGAGAATGAGTTTGATGAAGAAGGAGTTGCACACATGACGAGACGCTTCACATCATTGCTAAAGAGAAGAAATTCTCAAACCAACTCCCAAGCTTCGAGGTCCCGAGGGCCAAGGTCATTCACTCCACCTCATTCGAACCGATCGAATCCAACCGGTGAAAAGGCCAAACTCAATGATAGGAGAAAGTTCACCCCGAAGTCACTTAAGACCGTCCAATGCAATGCTTGCAAAGGGTATGGGCACTATGCAAATGAGTGTGCTAATACCTTGCGCAAAAGGGGCTTGAACTTCAACGCCACTTTGAGCGATGATGATGAATTTGATGACGGTTCCGCTGAAAGTGAAGCTGAAAATGATGGGGATGCTGCCTTTGTGACCAGTGTGAGCGAATTCAGGCCCAAACAAATTGATCCAGCAGGTGTCGGCCGAGGTGTCGCCCGAAGTGTCATGACACCCAGCAGGTATGAAAATAAAAATTCTGAATTTTTTTGTCTTAACACCTTGTTTTGTGACGCTAAAGGCAGGGATATAGGTCCTCCGAGCAGCCTTCAATTCGTTAACTTTGATGATCATGAAAAGGTGTACGTGGAACTTCATAAACGTTAT